CAAGCATGTCTCATCACATACTGTTATTTTTTGCCACTTTACCTCAGATAAGGACTTCAGCTCTCCCATTGCTACCTTTTCCCCAACTAAATTCTTGAGTATATCTGAATCAGTTTCAATATCATGTCAGTTGTTCTTCAAGGTCAACAGTACTACAAATAACCTGTGATATGAAAATAGTACATGAAGCTTCTAGCTTTATACTGTTAAAATGTAATATTTATGGCTTCTCAAAAGTTTTAAACCCCAGTCACTATGCAAATCTGCGTGCTTTATTGGACAATACTGAAAAGTGAAGATTGATACATTAAAATAAGTAAAAATTGTTAATTGATGTGACCTGCTCAAGTCTTACATTAGTTTGTTTAATTGTAAAGAATGTAAAGGAATGATCGTGTTCTATTCCACATGCTTATATTTACATGGAGAGAAATAACAGTATCTATAAAATGCTGTAGCTTTTTAACATGATGTTCATTGTATTCAACATGGTACGTATGATCTAAGTACCTACATCTATGCAGAGGCTGATGCTTCAGTAAGATATGAAAGCCTCTGCCTTAAAGATTGCAGTTCTTTTTAGTTTGACTCAAATAGGAAGCAGTAATTAGTACTGTTAAGTTAAAGGTTATTTTAATTTTTATAAATAGAAAATTCAAAATACCTGGAATCTATGTAAAGTGCTTCATGGTGCACAAAGTTTTTTAGCATTGGTCCATTAATGCCGCAGAATGCACTGCACTTGTTGATTTGAGATTATCATCGCACAGATAATTAACGCTGGCCTGGTTGATTCTCAGCTCGTAAAGTAAGAAATGGCTCAACATAAAAGCCTTTTCTGGCTGCTCTGCACAAGTAAGTTGGTTAGCCAGATATGTAGGTTAAGATACTAAGAATTTCCGTTTCTAATGACCTTTTCCATTTTGGAATTAATTCAGATCATTTTACAATCAGGCACATGTATTCTTTTCTTGCAGTCATAATGTGGGAAAGTCTGTTCCTCACATCTTGTGTGAGAGCCCTTGTAACACTGTTCCACAGAGCATTTTCATCTACACCTTTAGACATTCTTACGTATTCTGAGAAAAAATTGGTGAGCCTATAGAAATGTCTTACCAATGATTCTTTTTTTTTTTTCCTTCAATAAAATGAAAGAATCAATGAATTATGTTTTAGTTTTGTGGTTTTTTTTCCTCTGTTATCTTTCTGGAGATTGGATTCTGTGGTATCTGAGCAGCTTTGAATGTCTTCTGAATTTGGGAGCAAAAATAGTCGCTTTATACTACATATTTTTATGAACTTAATATTGACTTCATCCCAGCTTCACATAAAAAAATTCCACTAGTGTGCCCTCAAGTTCTTTGCAGGGAAAGAATGTGTGCAGACATGTAATGTAACTGGTGAAAAGCCTTTCTTTTTTAGGAAGACAAATTAAAAACTACAAAGCCCAAAATGTAATTGGAGTAAATAATGTGCTGACCAGTACATAATACTTCTGTGTTTTAAGGTTGCATTATGATGAGTTAGTTTGCACCGTTAATAATAAATGTATTCTTTTTTGAAAATAAGCCAATTGTTTGTACACTGATTCTTGGGTGATACATAAATTTATATTATGACCAACTATAGGAGATTTGAACTCTCATTTTAGACTTGGTGGAAATTCTAGAGGGTCACTTAAAACCCAGATATCTGCAGGTCTTGCATCATACAATTAATGACTTCAGAGAAATCCTTTTGTGATGTAGGACTCTCTTGGATGTTCTGGTACAGAGATAACAGAAGACTGTCAAACACCCATGTTTTGGGGAGCTTGACTTTTTGCCACATGGAGAGAAAGGATTTATGTTTATGCAAATAATGGGATTGAAATCCCCACATGGGGTTGTATTCAGGGGGCAGCTGCTGCTTTTACTTATCATAAGCAAGAATAATTGGTGCTTTGGAACTGTACTTGCCTCACAGCTTGCCCCCTGGATTGGGGAGGGGAGAAATCCCTGCCCTAATGTCTGCTTAATTGCCTTCCTGTCGAAATACGTAGGTGCCTGAAAGGCTTGAACATAGCCTTTAAATAAACTAAATAATCACAAGTAAATAATTTGGTACCCAAGTAAAGGACCAAATGATAAATAAATTCTCAGATATGGTCAGTTATCCCTTCTTGTGATATTGATACAATAATAGTATTGTTACCTACATAAATTAGGATCTATAAACTTTGCTGTGATTTTTCTGTGGGTTAGTTTTGAAGCAGCAGCTTGAAAAAAATTGAATTAAACATTACGTGGAATAATTTAATTCTCATTGCTGTCAAATCTATTAAATGTGTTTTAGAGTGTTCATATAGCGCAGATTTTTTTATTTAGAGAGATGTTTTCCGAGTGCAATTTTTTTTTTCCTGACTTCCATGGAGAAGGCTTAGTTCCTTGGATGCTTTCTGGGTTTTTGTATCATAATAAACCAAAGAAAAATATTTGAAATATAAGGTTGCTGGAATAACACATGGGAGAGAAGGATGAGTCCCGTTCTATAGTCACCCCTTCAGTCCCCCCAACATCTGCGACCAGCTGTAATTATAGAGAAACAGGATGCCAGCCTAGACAGACTTTTTCCTCCCAATCATAATGGTAGTTTTTACCTTACTCCCTCTGATGCTGCAGGATTTTGATTCACGCTGGAATTCATTTGTATTTGCATGAAGATAATTCTCTTCATCATAGCTCTATTGTGAGCTTAAGAGTCCATTTGCGTAGATCTTCTTGCAAGATAAGAACTTCATTTTCAAGTTGTTAAGTTTGAATAATCGTTTAATTAAATATCAATGTCATTATTGGGATGGGGGGAATAGGTGTTTAATTTCAAACTCTAGAAGATGTTGAAGAGCAAGAACGTTGATGTTTCAGATTCAGCCTGTTGCCTGTAGTGTGTCAGTAGGTCTTTTACTTCTAAAATTTCAGTCCTCCTTTTTCTGACAATCTTTTTAATTGCAGCAATTAGGTATCACATTAACATGGTTATTTTCAAATACTGAATTACAAAACCAGGAAATAAAAATAAAACCTGTTGATACATTCTTCTGTATAGTCTTTGACATATTTGGCTACTTGTTTTTTGTGTTAGCAAATGTTTAAGTAGCAAATAGCCAAGATACTTGAAGATCTTGGCTGAGATTTGCAGAAGTAACAAGTGGTCGCTTGCAGATTGCTGGAGCACTGGAGATTTGCAGAAGTGACTGATGTGTCACTTCTTGGATGCTTCTCTTGATGTCTTTATAGGAACTGATTTTTTTTTTTTCATGTTGCTACTTTATTCTTTATGTATTTTATGTTTGTGGTGTGTCTAGTTAGGCATTCCAAATGGCTAGTTATCTTGGAACTCTCACCTTCTGCCTTTAGATAAAATATGTGAATGTTGAGCTCTTAAAAGAAACCTTTTAAAAAAAAAAAAAAAAAAGGTGGCATTACTATTCAATAGAAGACATTCTAGAAGTCTAATTTTTAGCAAGGTCCATGTCATTAAGTTTTCCTTTTTGTCCCTTTTGCTTTCTTTTAACAAGATCCGCAGTCATTGTAGAGTAAAATGAGATAGATAGATAGATATAGATATATATAAAACTTTTTTTAACGTGGTAAAAAAAAATCTTATCAGATTGGACTCCAACGTTACAGTTCATACATGCTGGAGGGGTTGGTTATGTTACTCGCTGTGGTAAGCCCTAGCTGTGTCCATTGTTTGGCTGGGGTCCTGGCAAGCCGCAGATGCCTTTGGCCTGCAGAGGGGAAGGATTGGCCATCTACCGCAACAGGCTTTTGTCTAAGTGGGTGCACCAACACCATTTAGATGCTAATGTGATATAAGCTCGCTGTTTTGTACTAGAACTTGACTGCATCTCAGGAATGTGGCCTGTCTGGTTTTACGTTGGCTTCGGCATTAAAAGGGCCTACTGTAATTCATGTCTGCCAATCGATTAAAGCTGCAATCTCTGGTTTACAGCTTTGATGTGCCAAAGGAAATCGTTGGGGTTGGTGGAGAATTACATACTTTTTTTGGTTCTCCCAGATCTTACCTGCTGATCTGTATGCTTTTTGTTTGCCATCTACGATTAGGGAATAAAGTAAATTTGCTATGTGAAGCCATATGTGGCATTAGCTTTACTGACAGAGTTGAACCTTTTTTTTTACCTCTGTTCATGTTTGGTTTATGGTGGGGTAACTAAATGCTGTATTGTTCCTTTCTGCTTTTCTTGCAAATATAAAGTGGAGTGTATGTCTGTATTTTTACCGGAGATGTGACAGTTTTCTGTTTTTAGACTATTTTCTGGCTTAATGGAATACATATTCTGGTTCATGTTTTAGAGGCAGTGAATAAGTGAATAACCTAGGCATAACAGGGACATGTTATAATAAATTTAAGTTCTAGGCACTGCATCGTAGCAGCAATTTGCTGTATTTTTTGCAGAAAAAAAGGATGTGGGTATGGTGCAAACATGAATTGAAAAAGTAGCCCTGGGAATAAAATTTTTGTAGGTCTGTTTTGTACACGAACGCAGTACTCATCAGATTTTCTGTGCTGCACTCCCTACATATTCTTGTTGTAAAATAAAACAATAACTGTTTATTTTCTCAAAACACATACGTTCTTTAAGATTTTTTTCTAAAAGTGTTGAATGATAAGTTTCTTCAAGATTTCATTACTGTATTAGGTGAAACACGTGTGGAGGGAGCACAGGGGAGGAAAACTGTAAATCTAGTTGGTCTCAGCTAGCAATTACTTTAGCAGATAAAACAAAATATGCAAATATCCCTGAGCACTCTAAGGTTGATCTTTCAGACACTGACTGTCTGTATCCCTAGCCAAAAAAGGACATACGATAATTAGATTTTGAAGGACCATGTGGTGTTGCTACAGAGCTAAATATTAAAATGCAAGAAAGCAGGCTACCACATGGCACAATTGATTTTTATGGCAGTTCATGTTAAAATGCTCTCTTTTTATATTGCCTTTTAGGTTACCTAGGGTGAAACAAAATTACAGGCTTGGAGACTCTGGAAAACCTCAGCATCAGCATTTGAGGTAAAAATGAACATACTGAAGTAATCTTGGGAGTGTCCTTCTTGTTAACTTTATGGAACTGATTGGAGTAGAAATTTTCATCAAGATCCATTTTGCATTTAAGTTTTCAGTATTGATTTACAAAAATTTGACTTCAGAATCTCCTTTTTTAGGTCTGGGAAAACTCATACTTTAGGTGAATATATTGTGTGCGTTTTTTATTTTAGAGTTTTGAGAACATTGTAGGTCTGCTTAGATATGGTATTTTTGTTTTAAGTTAGTTTTATAGAATGGCTAATATATCTATGAAATTCTTTGTCGTGAATGACTACCTTTCCTAATTTTACTTGTATAGCTAAATGTATTTTTATGCAAATCACCATCTTAATTGCACAATATTTTTACTTTTATTAAAAACATGTGTGTTAATGTACTTAGGAATAAATGGTTGTTGCTCTTTCATGAGTTTACTGTATTATTTGCAGCTTCAAATTGAAATACTTTAAAGAAGTTTGAATTCCGATTTTAGGGTTTTTTTTATGTTTAACGCAAATGAAATGAAGATACATGTGCATGGAAAAAGCAGAACAATTATACAGAACATAGTAAAATTATGTAGAACATACTACTACTGTATTTCTCACGTGAACCAGTTATTAACATTAATCATAATAACCTGTTAAATAGGATTAGGGAAGTACACTTTACTTGCACATTTAAACTACCAAAAATTAGCTTTTAAATCACTCTTAAATTTTTGTTTCTAATACTAAACTAAAGTAATTCATGTTCAGGATGGACTTAAATAGTTCATTTTCTCTCAGCAAGTTATAGTGTAGGGTTGACACATTTGAATGTTTATAAGCAACTGAATTGCCACAATTAACTCTGCTATTGTAGTTCCCTTTTCAAACCATTTTTATAGTTCATAGGTTTTGTTGTTGTTGTTTTTAAGAGCCGAAGCTTGCAAATTATGTGATTAATCTACAAGCTGATATCATGATGTCAAAATGCAGTTCGGGAAGCATAAACACAGAGACTACGGAAATTAAAACGGTAAGACTATGCTTTGTAGTATGGGAGAAGCAGGTTTTTATGTATCACTTCACTGTATTCTCCTATTTTATATTTAAAGCTTCTTCAGGACCATAGAGTAAAGTAACTTCCATGTGTGAAATTATAGAAATTTACTGTGAATTTCTTTGGAAAGAATAATGAAAGTAGCTACTTCATTTTATCCATAGATGGTTAGATACAGCAATGGCATAGATAAAAAAGATGCTTGTCATGAAACACATGCTTTGATATTTCTTACGAAGCTGAATATGATTAGAAATTTATTCAGTTTTTTAAAAGGGGGTGTGTGTGTGTTTAAATATTTCTTGTGGATTTTATATTCAAATGTGGTTGTGTTGGTGAAATACAATCAATTTAAAAAGAAAAAAAAGGGAAGAAGGGAAATACGAAGGGCTGGAATTAGAATTTAATTTATATGTTGTTCCAGATAGGAGATAAAAAGTAAATGGTAAGGAAAGTAAATGGCAGGTAAATTGTTAAGACCTTAGTTTCAGTAGTATGCTTCAGTTTGAATTATGAGTTCAGCAAAACCAGCAAAAGAGGCTATCCAACTAAAGCTACGTAGAAGAAAAATCGATACGTAGTTTGATAATATAGTGAAGACAGAAATGTACCTAGTTTCACTGGTCCTCACCTTGCCTTGCATCTTAGGTGCCATACACTTCACGTTTTGTCTTTTGTCCTCTGTGTTAAGGAGGTAAAAGAGGAATCTGCGTAGCACCAGTTCTGTACCACTGATTGAGCAACTACGTAGTTAGGACTGTTGCACAGGGCCTTACACACATCGTTTCAAAAAGTGAAACAGTTTGTTCCAGAGTCTGGCTGCATGTCTGTATTTGTTGAAGGAGAAACATCCCCTTTCTAAACTTTTCTTCTAAATGTCTCATGTACTGGTGTCACTATAGACATGCTAGAAAACTGACTTGTTTTCACATTTTATTTCTGTAGTGGTAAATGCCCTACAGCCCATGTATGTTATGCTGGTATATAGTGGTATAATTCTTTTGCTTTAGAGACTGTTACAATGTACAGCAGCATAACTTTGTTGGTGTGGTCTGTGTCTTGTTGGCTCTATTGATAGAGCTAGAATAATTATGACAGAAAGTGTTTATTAGGCTTTTGCCTCAAATCCAGGTTTGGTCATACTGGTGACTGAACACTAGATGAAGGACTTAAGGGGTTGTGTGTTTTTCTGAGTCTGCTAAGTGTCATGTTGTACTCCATTTCTCTCCTATATACAGACGTTTAGGAGGAGTTTGCCAGGAATTCCAGCTGTTAACTATATTGTATTGCTTGTAGAAATGCTTCAGAAGCAGCTCATTCAAATGTAGAGCCTCAATGTAATCTTCATTTCATAAGCTCTTTAATGAAACTTTTCTGAACAACAGAAAGCAGCCCTTGCTGGTTTGGAATGTCTTGGTACGCTATTAGAGACCAACGTTCTGCTTGTGCTGTTAGACTGGTTCTGTACCAGAAAAATAGAACAAATAGAATTCTTCTAGTTCAAGATGAACATTCACAATGAATATGGATAGTTGTACTAGGGAAACCAGGGAAGCTGGTTCGTATAGGCATGCTTACATTTGAGCTTTGTAAGTATTTTATGCATTCTGTTTGCCCTTCTTGAAAGGCAACAGATCTGAAATATTATTCCTGCCCCCGCTCCCTTCCACCTTTAAGAATATTCTAAGACCAAATATAAAAACTACTGTTAGGCAATGCATGTGGTGAAGGTCTTTGAAGGATAACAGATAAGGCGTGTCTCGTGCAGCTGTGTTGTATGTTAAAGATTGCATAATACAAAAGAGATTTCTGATTCATCTTATTGAATAATACTGTTTGACGGTATTTCCTTACTTTAGACCTTCTGGGCCGAATGATGTCATTTAGAAACTTTGAATTTTGAGTTGGGAGCAGAAATCTCAATGCTTAATTTTCAAAGTATCCTAGGTATCAGCTGCTGAATGAAGGGGGGGAAAAAACCTTTTCCCATGAAAATGAAACTTTTTCACTTGTTTTTGAAGTGTTTGAGTTTTGGGCTTTTTTTTTGTTCCAAGTAAAAACTGGGTGTGTTTGTCTTGGTTTTCTTTAAGTTCTCTAAGAGAACTGAAGTTACAGGAGTAATATTCACAAAATAGGGTTTTGTAATGCTTTTGGACTATCACAGGAAAATCAAATCCTATTAAAAAGTGTACTTTTAAAAACAGGTTTAGAAATCAGAAGATGTAGGGATCTTGTATGTTGACCTTCACTTGAGCAAAAACAATTATTGCCACTGAATGCTTATACTGTAAGTAAAAGTCACTTTACTGCAGACTTCTGCTGTAGTTGGTACGGAACATCCTCCGTGAATATTTTACATTTTGTAAATTAACATTTACATTCATTTTCTACCTGTATTTTATATTTGTAATATTTTATGGTTTTCTTTTTATTTGTTCCTCCATTACCCAAGTAAGAATTTTCTGTGTTAGATCTTTCAGCAAGTTAATGTTTCATGTAGCATTTGGACATAAAACTTACTATAAAGAATGCGATATTCAGACTCTTTAGGTGTTCATAAGAGAATATTCAAACGGCAAGATTCTATTCATATTTTTTCTATAGATTGTGGTTTATTTAGAGTAAGTGGTTTGGTGGTTTTTTTTCCCACCCCTTGAGGCTAACTTTTTTGTTGGCTGATGCTGAAAGTGTTTTTAGAGAATAAATTAGACATTCCTGGACAAAGATGAAAACCTACAGCATTAGAAATAATTTTTGTATCACAAGGATTATACTGGGTACAAATTTACAAATCAACATTGGTGAAGGAAGCAGATGAAATACATTGTGTATGGCAGTAATAATTTTTTGTTGTTAATAGGAGATAGTTGTACTTTTGCATTAATTTGGTATGAATTTAACACCTACTGTGCATGCAAATGGTGGTAAAAACTTGAAAGATACATCCCCAGGGCTCTAGTATCTTCTCTGTTTACTTCAGTGTATCATTCCATAAATGTTTTAAACAGTCCTTGGAGCAGGACTAGATCCAGGATGTCTTACTCCAGGTGAGTGCCCTACTTGTTTTGGCTTGTATTCCTTAGTGCAGTAAACCTTGAAATTTTTTTGTGCACCAAGGGACTGCTTCAACTTGGATATAGTCCTGTGACTGAAAAATCTACACCACAGTTCCAGAATTACTGTAGACTGGAAGAAACTGCTATTAAATGTTGCTGTCTGTTCATTCCCGACCTCGAGCCCTTTTGAAATAAATTTCTTTAAATGGTAGAACAAGGGGTTAGTTTTAGCTCTGCAGCTCACTGTCTGTTCATGTAAATGTGCATTAAAATAAGGACATCAAATTGTGGATTTTGCTCTTAAAATTATCAAGATTGATGGCCATAAAACTGGACCTTTCAGTATTATTTTAGTAGAACAGATAAGCTTGGGCACTGTGCTGCTTTGTCCAGCTTCTGTAACATAGTCTAAAGCCACAGGAAGCAGGACTTGTTTCCTGTGTTTCTCCCTCCAAATTTGGCTTCAGCAAGTTCTTACAGTTTCTTGTTCTATCAATTTTCAAAATAACGGAGTGGATAAAGATCTTAGCGGGTATCTTTTGTTACTCACACTGGCTGAGCAGGACTAGTTTGTTGTTTTTTTTTTCCTGCTTCCCTGTAAGGTAGTTTCAGGTAGCTAGGTTCAGGACTTCTGTCTACAAATTCTGAAAACATGTACTTACATCTCAAATGTTTTCAATTTAAAAACTGTTCTTCAAGTAGATGTGTTTTTTCCCTTTTTATTTCTAGATGGTCCTGTACTGCTTTTCTTTTATTGCAGAACTTGATATTCTTCCTTGCTATTGAAATAGCAACTTAAAATGATACAGTTCATTATTCTGGCTTACTCCCATCATAACGTTGACATTGATCTTGTCAGATCTTACATACTTCCAATACAAATAGTACAAAGGAAGGCCAGAACTAGGAAACTTTAGCACAGCAGGAAGTAGCATTGATGGTTTAGGGAGGAGAACTTTTTCTTTTTACCTGAGTTAGCATACAGTGGGAGGGAATTTAAGCTATTTCAAGTGCATTCTGCCTCATGCAAGCTTAACTCTGTTATTTTGCTAATTAATTGTGCAGCTTATCATAGCTAAATTCTCCTTTTTTTTTTTTTTTTTTGTTTACTATGTCAGATTGCAGGGTAGTAATGGTATGGTTAACAGTGGCAGGCAATGCTGTTTGGCTTGTGCTTACTTTTCAAGTTACAAATGTGCATGTACTTCTTCCTTTCCACTTAAAAGTTTTTTTTGAGAATGCTTTTTGATGTCGATGAGATGATTGTACTTTATGGCAGGTCTTTCATGAAGATACACAGAAACCAAAATTGTAGTTTAGAGTATATGTTGTTTCACAGCTCTTCCAGGTCAAGCTGGAACCATGCGTAAGTATAAATCCCCTTGCTTCTTGCAGCAGGGTAGCTAACCTAGTATCACTGTCATGAAGTGTGTAGCAAAGGAGATACGTTATTTGTAAATATTAGATCTTATGCTTGTTTTTTATTAGCAGTCTTCTCAAATAAGTTTGGCTTTCTTAATTCCATCCTGGTGATGTGATACAGCTATTTTATATGTTCCCAAGGTTGTACTTAAAATTTGGAAAAGAACGCAAAATAGCTGGAATAGTAAACAAAGAGGAAACTCTGCTGATGTAAAGTGATTTATAAAACTGAAGTGGCTGGGCTTAGATACAAGAATGATTGGGGAATCAGCCTTAGCTTTTATTATGCAAAAGGTTTGGGTTTTTTCCCTGGTCCCTTCTAGCCTTGAGCAATTATGATGGCTGTGACCAGGTCTCATTTTAAGCAAAGCAAACACAAGTTGTGTTTCCACTTGAGTTGCTATATGTAAGTAGAGAAACAGGCCTGAGACCATTTCAATGAAATATTGTAGTCATGATAAAAACTTTAGTGTTCTTCAAAGAATTTTTTTATATGTGTTACCAACCAGCACGATACTCATTAGAATATAAAAAGAGAAGCTAGATATATTGAAGGGGAGCTTCATCTATAGGCTTGGGGGAGGGAGGGGTTGGGGATAAACGTGCGTTTTCTCCCTTCTCCCCTGCTCTCATACACCTAAGCTGTCAGTTCAAACAAAAGCTTCGCTTATGTTAGCGGTGCCCAGAGTTTCCAGATGCTTTCTAGTGGCTGGGGAAGACTGCGTATCATGCTACTGTTCTTGCCATGTGACTGATTTAATTTAATTAGTCACATAGTGATTAACATCAGTACATTTTATGTGCAAATGCTCGGTAGATCAGAATGTTTGTCAAGGATGATCATCTTTGCTACATGCAGCTGTATAGCATGTACACATCTTTCCTGCTGGTTGTCTCCCGTGACCCAGAGCTGTGGAGTCCCAGTGAAGGAACAGCCACGAAGCCACTAGTTCCAAAGACAGATTGAACCAAAACATCTTTTAGTTGTGCCAGATTTGAACGCTATATAAAGTTACTAGTTGAATTACTAGAACAGAACCTGCATGTCCTTGTATGCATTGTTTGAAATGTTTAAAAACAGTTTAAAAACCTACAGGAATCTTTTCGTATTATAACTGAAATGAATAATGGTGTATTACTGATTTTATGATGTGTGTAGACTATGTTGTTTTCTTTTTGCAGTTAAATAAGGCAATATCTTATTGATCCATTTTATCTATTTAGATAATCTGAAAGACTCAGGCTGAAACGGTAGCTTACGTTACAGGACTGAAAAAGTAAATGAGAAGATATGCATGAGTTTGGAGATTAACTCAAAAGTAACTGAAAAAAGGTCGGATAAAATGTCAAGAGCATTCTTTAGTATGTCCTGTGAAAATGTACATTCTTTTTTCTTTTTTTGTTTTTCCTAAAAAAAAAAAAACAAACACAAACCACAAACATTTGAATACATCTTTTCTTTCTGGAGTCTTCTCACCCTGACAGTTTCTGTGAAGCTCAAATTAAAACATCAGGCAAGATTCCAGCAATATCAACACAGTTCTCTTAGTAAAGAAATAGTATTTTTGATGGAGGGGGAAGTACATTGGTTGGTGAGCCAAAGACCAAGAAGTTACGTTTACCGTCTTTCACTAAGCAGTGTTTACTACTGAATGTTTGTCTTCAAAAGAGAAATAATTCTTTATAGTGGAATAGAACAATGCTACTTCAACTTAACCACACTGTCCTTCAGGACTCCCCCTACCCCTTTGGAAAAAAATGAGACAAAGCTTTATCTCTGACTACTTTCTAGAAAGTGGTATTATTTCTGCATGAGTCCGCAAGAGGAGCGGTCATGTAATTCAATGTATTGCCTTCTCTTTATTTACAAGATTTACTGAGATGAAAAACTAGAGAGAATCGGTTTGATCTCTTTTGTCAGAGCTTCCTATAGTTATTTAATATTAGTTAAGTTGGAATATAAATCAGTGTTTAGACATGGCCCAAATTATAATATATAACTTTAGAATGTGAATACAATGTTTTATTAGTTGAGGACTATAGTAAACAAAATAAAATTTCATCTTGGTACAAAAATAAATGAATACTTTTTTAAAATTGTACTGCTTTATTTGTAATATCTCAAAGCAGTTATTTTTCATAATCATTAGTGGTTAATATTTTCTATTAGATACCATATCATACTTTTCTCAGTTTTTTTTTTTTTCGCTACTGCACATTTGCAAAACTTAACCAACTTTTCAGTTATATAGAAAAGCAAGGACATTTCTATGCAATAGGAGGATAATTAGCTTTTCTTCATATATTTCTAATGAATGATTAAATTTTGCAAGCATTGTCAATTTTATGCATTTCTTATTTTGAGATTGATGCTAAAATGAATATAGTTTTCCTCAAAATTCCTAGATGCTCTAACTTTTGAAAATATTGTTTTGTTGAACAGGGTATGTATCTGATTTGAAGGGGGGAAGTATTCAAAATTTCTTAGATTTGATGCATATGTTTGTATTGTACTTTAGCAATATTTTTCTGTATCGTCAGGCCTTAATCACTTTCCTTGGGCAAGGTACAATTGATTTTTTTTTTCTTTTTTTTTTTCTTCCCCGTTGATCATTCCTAACAGAGAGCAAACATTTTTAAAAAACCCCAGTGATGAGGGCTTCGTAGCCTTAGTAGGAAAGTCTTTTCCAGTGCATAATAGCCATCAGCTTGTGACTGGTTTGTTTATCAATTAGAATATCTTTCTGGAAATTGGTGGTTAACCTGATAAGGACTAATGGAGAAAGGGACCCTTATCAGAGTTATCAGCAATTATTTATAATACTTCTGCCAGTTCCTTAAATAGATAACCTTAGCAGAATCTGTTGATTTGAAAATACTAAGGTTCTTGTGTAGTTCCTGTTCTTTTCCCACTGATTAGAATAAAATTCCTGTTACATGTGTGTATATAAAGCTTTAACTGGTCATAGGGACTTTTTGGTTGGAAAGAGAAATGGAAAATGTCATACCTACTTATGCCTGTGCTCTAGAAAATCAATCTTTTTCTTTCCTGAAGTAAAGCTAAAACAGCTTTATTTTTTTAAATTTGTTCTTAAAGATATTTTAAATGGGATTCTGTCAGAACATAAATGTGACTTTATTCTGAAATGTACATGCGTAAATCCAAATGCCTAGAATGAACTTTGCCCTGTAAAGTACGGTTCCTTTTGAATTACTTGGGTACTTTGATAAACGCACATCTTTAAGTGGAAAAGTGCCTGTAAATTTAAAATTAACATTTTCTGCTGAAAATAGTATGAAAAACTTACTGGAAGTAAAATCAAGTAATGTCCTTTTCTTAGAATAAATTTTCTCTTCTTGCTTCACATTGTGACTATATCTAATACTGTTTCTTTTTCTTCTCATAGTAGGCTGTGCTGGAACAAAAATGCAATGAAAGAAACACTGGATGAATGAATGAAAAGCCCTGCTTTGCAATCCCTCAGCATGGCGGGACTGCAGCTCATGACCCCTGCTTCCTCCCCAATGGGTCCATTTTTTGGACTACCATGGCAACAAGAAGCAATTCATGATAACATTTACACGCCAAGAAAATATCAGGTACTAGTGATAATGGTAGTACAGTAATGTCAGAAAAAAGTACAATTAAAATCCATTAACTTAACAGAAAAAGAACCAGAGCAGCTGGAGAATGTGCAGTGTTGCACACAGTCTAGGCATGTCTCTCTCCCAGCTCCACCTGTTGGGAGTTAAATTGTGTCTCTTTTTCTTTAGCTTGGCTGTATTCTGCATTTGTAATATCCTCCATGCCCTCTTCTCAGTTTGCTGTAACAAGCAGAACAACTTTTAAACTGAGTATTCGCTTGCTGCTCTTCTGTGTAAATGCTGTTAGGGACAAACACAGTAAACATTACACTGTGCATCTCGATTGTATGCATACAATCATGTCTCCTTCCCCCTCTGACCTTCTGTCTTCTACATGGTAAATCTTAATTTTTGGTTCACATACTGGTCAAAGCAGCTCAGTAATGTCAGAAACCCCATCAGGGCACTCTGATTTTCATTTTGTTAAGGAAAGTTATTTCTGAGTTCTAGAATTTCAGTTATCTTTGCACTGCAGAGGTGCCTGAAAGGTAGTATTTGGTTAGTATTACTGAAAAGCTTAGATCACCTTGAGCTAATATACTTGCTTATTTGGCTGAAGTGATGTATAGTTAGATTTAAAAGCTCTAGCTTCTTTCTTCACACAATGTATCTAGCAACAGAATCATCTATTAAAAAGATGTAGGTAGAAAGCTACTTAAAATAGCAGCAAATTGTGATACTAAAGGGTTTTAGATTTAGAAGCTAGACTATATATAGTGTATATTAATATTTTTTGAAAGACTGTGACAGTACATTATTAGGAAAGAGACGTGTTAATTCTATGGCACTGGAAAGATCTCTTAGAGATACTACTGACTTGTCTGTAGCTTATTTACCACTTGTATTATTTTTTTTTTTGTCAGCTTTTTCACTGCATTGCTGCAAGTAAGGACATTATTATTTTTTAAACCTAGGTTGAACTGCTTGAAGCAGCTTTGGATCATAATACAATAGTCTGCTTAAACACTGGCTCAGGGAAGACTTTTATTGCAGTACTACTCACTAAAGAGCTGTCCTATCAGATCAGGGGAGATTTCAATAAAAATGGAAAAAGAACTGTGTTCTTGGTCAACTCAGGTAAGGGGGAAAGTATACTTAAAGTTCCTAAACATGCTGCTAGTATTTCCATGGAATATTCCTTAATAGAAGTTGTATGGAAGCAAAGCTTTTTTTTTTTTTTTTTTGCATAAAGTCTTCTACAACAAGGATGCTAAACTGATTGAAGAATGTGATACCTTTCATCTTTTGCTTATAGTCCACTTAATACAACCTGTTTATCTGTATGACATCTTCTGTTTCCTGGTTTAAAATTGAATCTGAAGTGCAATTTAGTTATCAATCTGTTTCCTTGCTGTGGTTTTACATGGAGGTAGTTGCCGTGTACACCTGGTTTAACGTCAGTCTACGCTATGTTATGAAACATGGTGCTAGGTAATATGACACGCATTTTGAAAATTAATGTATGAAAAGACCTTTATATGATTGAGATTTTTTAATATTTTTTTCTTAAGCAAATCAAGTTGCTCAACAAGTGTCAGCTGTCAGGACACATTCAGATCTTAAAGTGGGAGAGTATTCAAGTTTAGAGACAACTGAATCATGGACAAAAGAGAAGTGGAGTCAGGAATTCTCTAAGCATCAGGTAATGTATTAAGTATAAGCTATAAATACAAGCAGAGCCTACAGTAAGTTAGGCTTGATGAGAAGCTTGCATTTTTCTTATACTGACACTTTTTTTTTTCCCTTTCAATCTAGGTTCTGGTTATGACATGTCATGTTGCTTTGACTGTTTTGAGAAATGAGTATTTATCCCTGTCAAATATTAATCTTCTGGTGTTTGATGAGTGCCATCTTGCAATCCAGGATCACCCATACCGTGAAATTATGAAGGTGGGTTTCCATTGCTTGAATGTTTTAATACTTGATTGAGGAGGAGGAGTCAGGTGGGAGGGCTGGAGAAGTGGGAACCATTTAAGACAGCTTTTGCTACCAAGGAAAAATTCAGTGGAACCATATTTTAGCATGTTCTGGGACTGTGAAATTACTGTAAGGAATTAAGACTTCAGTGATATTATGAGATAGAAAAATAGTGTATTTACTGTATTTTACAGTGGGGATTAAAGAAAAATCTGGCATTAACAGAGAAGCTAAATTTATGGAATTAAGGGAATTTTGTAAATTCATTGATAAAATATTTGAGTTTGGGAATGGGATGTACTAATCAGTTTCTATTATTTTTGAAATACTGATTTCTAAAGATGTTTGTAGGGCTCTTTCGGGATATTCTTGGCTTCATGTGGTATTTGGCTTATATAGTACGAGAAACCTGTATAATAGATGTTTTTCCGAATCTCTCTTCAAGTTTAACCAGAGCATGTGTCTCTTATTTTTTTGGATGACACTTCAGTTTTTACATGATGTGGAAGTATTATGATATGTGTGTTGTAAATGTGGCAAGGATATTCTGCGCAATGCTAACTGTTTATTTTTTTATATTTTTCCGCATTGTAAATATTTACCTTTAAAGATGATTGCTGTTAAATGTTATTAAATTTCTAGTTTAACTTCCACTCAGTAGAATAGAAAATATTCATTCAATGTTTGGTTCCTTTTCCAACAGCTATTGAAATACTAGTTTCCAACTAAGCATCTAAGTTTGCAGTCTGCTAGCTTGATGGTAGATTTGCAGGATAACTGTCCTAAGGTATTTCATTCTCTTTTACTTCACAGATCTGTGAGGATTATCCATTATGTCCTCGAATCTTGGGATTAACAGCTTCCATTTTAAATGGTAAATGTGATCCTGCTGAGTTAGAGGAGAAGATCCAGAAACTGGAGAAAATTTTAAAGAGCAATGCTGAAACTGCAACTGATTTGGTGGTCTTAGACAGGTATGTGGTACAGTTATGGCTGTTAAGTTGATGCCTGTGTTTTCATTTTGGGTAGAGGAATAAACCAGTAGAAATATTTCCTCTTTTAAATTTTAGAAAAGTTTGTGTGTATGTGATACCATTACTTCTATTTGGGGTGGGGAGGGAATGAAATTGGTTTTTGAGTAATCAGTGTTGAAGTACATCTTTCCTTAAGGGTAAGTACAAAGGCTGATTGGCCTTGATATTCAGAGATTTTCTGTAGTTGTTAAAAAAAAAAAAAAAAAAAAAAAACAACCCACAAAACAAAAAAGACCCAACAAAACAACTAAAAAAAAAAACCCCAAAAAACAAACAAACCAAAAATCCCAACCAACCAACCAAAAAAACCTCCAGCACACCATCAGCCTAGAAAATTCACATTCCACAACACGTTTCTGAACTTGTAAAATGCACTGTCTTGTGTTTGGAGAGTAACTGGTTCATGTTCAGTGTATGCCATAGTGTTGCTATTTAATTTAGAAAAACGTTGCAACATCCACAGTACAGAATGTTTTTTAATGCCAGAAAAGTTGCATGATTTCTGCGCCCCGGCCCCCCTGCCTTCAAATGAATGGCCTGGATTTAGAGGCTGATGAAAGACAGGGAGATGAGAGGAAGTAGTGAAAACTATTTAATACAGCAGAGCAAGTGGGTGTTTTCCTCCATGTCTTACAGAATGTAGAATCCTGTGAATGTTGTTTAAAATAAAGGTGGTGATAATGTGATGATTTGTTGTAGAGGAAAATTAGTGTGAAATGATTCATATGTAGCATGTTTTCTTGCACCAGCTGTACTGTGTTGTATGAACTGAGTTTCAGACAAAGATGTTTTTTTTTCATGTTCTGGAACAGGTGTTTTGTGGGTGTGTTTTTTTTAAATGCATTTTTCTGAACTTGTGTGAACCATTTGCTTTTAAGAATTTCTCACTCCTCGCTCTGCCATTCAAGATCAGCAATTACTTTACGTGTGTAAGGGTGTATATATAGACCTAAATTTACATTATGTGGATCGTATTTGTTTGGCATATCAAAAGAATACACTTTGGAAAACCAAAAGTGAAGATGGTGGTCAAGTAAATTCAGTTTGCTTTGCTTTAAATTTTCCAATATTTGAAATGAAGATAGAGATATTAACCTCCCTTTTAGGGAGTGTATATTAAAAAGAAAAGTATTTCAGAATGAAGTCGTTTAGTATTTGAGGTGGCAGAGGTTTTTTTTTACTTTAAAGTATTTAACTGTGTATCTGTTCATTATTGAATCATGGTGGGGAAAGAAGTGTACTTGAGTACACTACATATTGCTGTTGTTATTTGCTGTATAATCTTAACAGGCTGAAATAGCTCTGACTTTCAGAAGCTGTGTTTAACTTGATCTTTGCCCTCAATTAAGATATACTTCTCAGCCATGTGAGATTGTTGTAGACTGTGGACCATATACTGACAAAAGTGGGTTGTATGGAAGATTATTAAAGGAATTGGATGAAGCGCTTACTTTTCTAAATGACTGCAACATATCTGTACATTCAAAAGAAAGAGATTCTACATTAATTTCTAAGCAGGTAAGGGCATTAAGCTATGTGAAAAACCTGGGGAATAGAAGTCTTACTACTGTTTTTCTTTGCCATGTATGTTACATCACTGAAACTTTCGAAGCTAGCCAGCCTAGAGTATCTGAGCAAAAAGACTTCTGATTTTTGCAAATCTCTTCATAAATGAGTGAGGCTTGAATGTCAGCCATTGATTAGAACTTCATCTGGTTAGAGTCTTGTATTCAGATTTGCTTAAGGCAGTAAAATAATTCTGCACCCTGATGTTGTGGGTCCTTATTTCTGAAGTCAAGAATTTGATGTCTTTGTGATCTTTCATGACCTTTGAATAATTCAGTACAGAAGAGGAAGTAATGCCTCAGGAGGTATTTGGAAAAACCGTACCCAGGTGTATTAAAAGATGATAAAGTAAGAATTCAGGCAAAAATTCCAGCCACAGATGCACAATTTCTATTGGACTAGTGCCACACCTTGCTGGAATGGAATTTGGACCTCAAGCTTGCCCCTACCTTTCTATGTGTTTGCCCCTATGTTGTCACGCGAGATGGAAGAATAGAGTCCAGAAGGCATGGTGTATTGAGCAGGGACCTGTCACACGTGGAGTCGGGGGTCCAGGCAGCTTTTTTTCCTTCTTGGGCTTTGTGGTTTGAAATTGCCTCCTGAGGTACAACTATGTAGGTATTTAAGTCTTTGTTTAATAAGAAGTCAGTAATGAGTCACACTTCTGTAATAGTCCATGAGGAAGTCCGAGAATGTATTTCTTTCCTCAGCCCAAAGTGTTCCAGTTTCCTTTAACATTCTTAGAAACCCAGCACTCTGATGCTGTCCAGAAAAAGATTATTTGGGCCAGAGGGAAGGATGACAGATAAGGCAGCATGTCATGGCTGCATGGGAGAAGGAAGTCCTGGCTACTTTTGTGCTAAACTTAAAATGTAACAGGCTAAAATATATAAGGAATGCTGGCAGCTGGGGGCAATCCCCAGGATTTACATAGTCCAGAAGAGTGGATTAACTGCTATGCTTCTAATGAACGTAACCCTCTGTGCTTGTTTTCTGATCCAGTAGCTCTCCAAGAAGATGGAGGCACCTGTACTAGGAAAAAGAAATCAGTTTTCAGCCTGAGGTGCCTTTTGTCTTGGCACTGGAGAGCATCAGGCCTCTATGTGCAGTTACAATTAGCTTAGATAAATTTTGCCCTTAATTAAGTCTTACAGCTAACAAACTTCAGGGAGGATAGTGTAAAGAGGATGATAACTTGTTCTTTACTGCCTCACAGAAGGGAAGAAGGAAGAGAAATTAAAGCAGCAACTAAAAACTGTATCATCCTGACTGTTCTTATAGTTCTGTCGTAGTGCTTACATTGTAATAGTACATCCAAATCCAAATCATGAGTCTTTTTAAAAATATTATCAATGTACCCCATTTCTGGCTTCCTAGTTTATTCTTTGACCACTTGACTCTTCAGGAGGAGACAACTTGCCATCAGATAAGACTCAAGTGTCTATGCTGTACTCTCTGAGTAGGCTATAGTTCTCTCTGTTTTTCCTCTTCCACCCACACGTACAAAGCCCTAAGTTTTTTTCCTTTGAGAGGCTTTCCTTTAAGATTGCCCTAAGGCCACTGTACAACTTTCTACATATTTTTGAAACCATGGCAAGTATCAGTAACAAATAAAATAAAAATGCCCAGTAAAGTGTTCATTTTATTAGATCTATGTTAAACATAAAGGGTAATAATTTCTGTTTTGTTTATCTAGCTGCCTCAAGAAGTATTCTCCTTTTTAGCAGAATTATCCTAAGGTAAATTTCAAATTACAGTTCCACAAAATTGTAAAATATTCTTTAAACTTGGTTTTTTGAGATTCAGAAATGTACGAAGTTCAAAGTTTAGTTTTAGTAATTTAGGGGGAGGGGGAAACTTGCTCCATTAGAAACACCAAAGTTCCCAAGGTCATCTAAATAACAAAAGCAGACTTCTAAATATTTTTATAATAGAACAATTGTCATAAATCGTTACAAAGATTGTGCTATATGAGAAACAAGATCCCAGTCTTAAATGACTAGTTCCTGAATATGCTCTTTGAATTGATGTTTGAATTCATTTGTTGTAGATATTGTCAGACTGTCGAGCTGTGTTGGTTGTTCTGGGACCCTGGTGTGCGGATAAGGTAGCTGGGATGATGGTGAGAGAGCTACAGAAGTATATCAAACACGAACAAGAGGAGCTGCACAGGAAATTTTTATTGTTTACAGACACTTTCCTAAGGAAAATACATGCACTCTGTGAAGAGCACTTCTCGCCTGCCTCACTTGACCTGAAATTTGTAACCCCAAAAGTAATAAAGCTGCTTGAAATCTTGCGCAAATATAAACCATACGAACGGCAGCAGTTTGAAAGTGTTGAATGGTATAACAATAGGAATCAGGATAATTACGTATCTTGGAGTGATTCTGAAGATGATGATGAGGATGAAGAAATTGAGGAGAAAGAGAAGCCAGAGACTAATTTCCCATCTCCCTTTACTAATATTTTATGTGGAATTATTTTTGTGGAAAGAAGATACACAGCAGTTGTTCTAAATAGGTAAAGCTTTTTATTTAAAAAAAAAAAATCATTTAAAAAGAGGCAGACTTAGCTGCCATCACATGGATGTTAATATTATGAATGTGTAGGGGATTGTCTTGTAGTTTCAGAACTCTATTTTAAACTTGGTTTAGGAGATCATACTGAATCTGCGTAAAGAATAACATAAAAAATAATAATTCAGGCTATGTGTATATAGGGTGGATGGGAAGAGCATGTGTCTTTGAAAATTGTACTCAAAGGCTTGTTTTGGACCTGAGTTTGTAATTTGGTTTCTTTAGAAGGCAAAATGTGAAATACTGTACTTAACCTGTAAAGTATCCATATACTGATTTGTCTTAATCTGTCTTTAAATTCATATTTGCAATGGGTTCTGGAAACTTCTCTAACCTACAGAGTGCAATACTTTTGGAAATTTTACCATTACCTTACTAAATCACATTATTATATGATCCAAGTCTGCAGAAAATTAAATTTGCCCTTGCACAAATATCTCTTAAGATTTACCAGTACTACTTCAACAGTTGGTGTTTATAGAATACCTATTCAGTTAAACACTAAGCACTTTCTTACAGTCTCCACCAAGAAAAATATGAACCCTAGAATATTTGCCAAGATATACTTTGCAATGCTCTAGTTCCTTATCAGTTCTTATTCCTGAATGTGATCCATGTTAGTTACACGTAAGTTTAACTTAATTGTTAAATGCTATTTGCCACAAACCATGAATGACATCTGATTTATTCACCTATCTTGATTTTGGGTTTTTGGTAGTTTTTTTGATAGTGTGCTAAATGTCCTGTGCAATTTGTTTATTGCATTCTGGATACCTCTGAATCTGACCCTTCTGTTGTTACCTTTTTGCCTGAGTCAGTAGTTCGAGTGCATAATATATTCTTTGATCTGCAGACCTGCCTGTGTGTTTTTTGTGAACTTAATCTTTTTTCTTTGCCTTTTTTGCATTTTTAAATATGTTTGCATAAATATGCAATATGATGCAAACTAAGCCATTCAGTGAAATGGACATGTTCTGTTAATCGCTCCTGAAGAAATAACATTAACAAATTCTGATAAATTTTTGCTGAGCTGAAATAAGTATTTCATTATCCTACAGGGAGTGAACAGAATTGTTAATTTTTTTTCTTCTCTGTGATGTGATGAAATGTGATTTAAGTTACACTCTTGTTCCACTGTGCGTTCTTGTGGACTGTGATTTATGCACTATATTATATCCTAACTGCTGCTTTAGGCACCTTTGGTACAGGTTATTGGCAGCAAAAAATAAAACTATATGTAACTTTTTATCCACTTCTGAAAGTTAGCTAGCAGACTCTCAAAATGCTCCTTTACCTCATGTAACATACCTGGTCTCAAAATACGTGGATGATCAGCAGACCTGAGCTGTTGGACAGGAGACAGAAAGCCTTCAGTGGAGAACCTCACTGTAGGCTCACTTTGGTTGAGTGGATTTAGTCCAAGGGCCTCTGCTGATTGTAGCTGTATTTATGCTGTGTATACAGGTGGAAAGACTGTCTCCTGAATAAGGAAGTCATGAGTGTTTGAATTAGTGTATCAAAACCATTCAAGCTTCGAGTAATCCCATATGGATCGTTAAGCAGAACTAAGTTAAAGCAGAAATACAATTTTTCTTAAAATATATTTATTATGGTAATGTTTAGAGACTAGAATCCCATTTTATGAAGTCCATAGCTCATGATGGCTGAGGAAAGGCAAAATTCATGGCATGTGTTGTACTTTCTGGGAGAAATGGGCAGGACTTTTCTCTGAAGCAGTAATTAGAGCTAATCTCTATCTTTAGAGATCTTTAGCAACAGCCACTGCATATATTGTAAATACTACAAATTAGAAAGAACAAACAAACAAACAAAAAAACAAGCAAGAAAACCAAAAAACACAGCTTATTCTTTGATTATTATTACACACAACTGATGAAGTGGCTCATTTACTGTTCTATTTGGTGTATACAGTTGAGTTCTGGTTCCTATAAGCTCCTTTTAGAAGAGAAAACATTTTCTAAAGTCCAGTTTCCTTCTATTTTCATTGCGGTGCCTCTCAACTGCCTTAGAGAGGGGTCTGAAAGCAGAAGTTTTTGTATCTATATGAAAAACAACACCTGTTACCTACCACTAATAATACTTTTTTTAACCACAGGGTTGAAGTCTTGAATGTTTCTTAAGAACTTGCCAAAGATGTGCACAGTGAAATGTTTATTCAGATGGTTTTAATTATCCATTTCTATAATAAGTGAGATACAGTAAGGATGTTTGAGATGCTTAGTAGGTACTCAGATTGAAGCTATATGACTTGACAGAAATGCCATGTGGAAAAAGAAATAGGAAAAAAAAAAATTACGGTTTTTGTCCAGTTATTAACCCATACTTTTTTAGTGTGTCTGTTTCAAGAGCCTAGACTGTATACAGAAATGAGAATCCATTTAGCCTTGAACTAACAACTCACATGCATTTTAGTACAGGAGGATCCTTCTAGCCTGTTTCCGTAAGGATACCAAGCTATTTGCCACTTTTCCATTCTCTTGCCTATACTCCCTGTCCATTCCAGTTTTAACAGATTGCAAAGGAAGGAAGTCTTCAAGGTGTGTTATGTTCCCATAAATGCTGTTTAAAACAGCCACTAGGTGAAGGGGAGAGACTTCAGTAGTTTTGCAAGGGTAGAAGGGGCAGGGAGAACTTCCCTTTTCCATTTTCCATCTGGTTTGGCAGCAGCTCGCTGGGCAGGTGGTAGGCATGTAGCTGGGGACTGGCACAGCACCCATCTTCTTATATGGGAGGCAGAACTGCTAGAGATGTAATTGGGAAAGGTTTGAATTACTGGAGGTACACAGAGGCAGGCTGTCCTTTGGATATGAGGAGCATCTGGTGATGGATATGCTATGAGCAAAGTGGTACTGGGATAGCTATAGTGAGATACGCAAGGGATGTAATTTTTTGTATATGATCCCTTGATTTTTATTGGCTCTGCTGCTCAAAAACCTGTTGTGGTTGAGAAATGCCAGGTTCTGTCCATGCTGAAAACAGCTCAACTAAGGATGCTACAGCATAATTACTTTGCACAGTGTAATTATCCTTTTAAATCCATAAATGCCTAGTTCTAGAATCAGTGCATTATTTGTATGAGCGATCCTTCTACCTTGTCTGTGAAATCAGAACACTGCAGAAACCAGCCTTTTTTGCTTCTGTAACCTAAAGAAGGACATAGGGGAATAAACTGAGCATGTGGATGATCCTCACCTTTCTGCTCAGTGTTCCTTTTAAAGAATTGGATTAAACCCTCCAATTGTAGATACATTTGGGTTAATTTCAAAAATAGTAAACATCTCGCTGGGTAGGCTGAGCATTGCTCTTCATAAAAACAGGTCAACATTTTGTCATTAGTATACCTGAACAGAACATGTATTTTAAAACATAGATTGTTATTCTCCTTAATATTAACCTAGAAATTAACACCTTATGTTGAAGAAACATACTTTGTTGAGGGAGCAGTTACAGGTCTTTCTGCTAAAATCAGTCATCATTTACAGAAAATGAGATTAACTGAACCAGTTGTAAGTAGGGTGCCTTAACAACAGGGAGCCTTAGAATAATAAATTGCTTTAAAAATTTCTGGGTTTACCTTGATGGGTCTGAAATGCGTGTGATGCATGCACACTCACGCTGTGTATCTATGCAGTCTGTCATATATTATCCTTACAGAGGTTTTCACCAGAACTAGTGTTTTTAGAGAAGACCATGGTCAGTTTATGTGTTAGTATGGCTTAATTGTCATGCTTCCATTTTTTCTTTTAATGTAGGTCTTGAAAACAAAAGATTGTCTTCCATTTTCTGGGTTGTGTGACTGCTAAAAATGCATGTAATATTTTTAGGTTGATAAAAGAAGCTGGCAAGCAAGATCCAGAACTGGCTTACATCAGTAGCAATTTTATAACTGGACATGGCATTGGCAAGAACCAGCCTCGTAACAAGCAGATGGAAGTAGAATTCAGAAAACAGGAAGAGGTAACTTCAAGGAAAAATAATTGAAACTAGCAGTACCTTCAGAACCTTTTTGGTTTTGTGGGTATTTTTGTTTGGTTTTTTGGATATTGGGGATTTTTTGTGTGTGTGTGTGCGTGTCTTTAAAAACAAACCAACAGGCAGAATCTGGGCACAGTCATTGGAAGTTCAGGGAATACCCTTGGTTTAACAAATATGCATACTTATTGGAGATACAGATGTTCTTCATTAAAAAAACAAACACAAACAAAAAACCCCATGTTTAGAGACATTGCTGTGTCGCGTTACACAAACAGAAGTTAAAACTTCATGTAAAATCATGTTTGTGTCTAGTCAGGTCATCAACCATCTAACTTTTCTGTATTGGGTTAGTAGTAGTACAGTAATACTGTAAAGAAGATCCAGGTTCCTGACATTTTCAACAGTTAATCTGGTTTTGATATTTATCTGTGCTAAAAGTGAATTTCGTAAATCATTAAATGATATAAATATAAAACCCTGTGATTTTGGGCTCACTTAAAGCATGTGAAGTATTTTGAAAGCAAATGCATTTATTCTTCCCCCTCAGCCCCAGTTGGGTTGTCTCCCCAAACCTTTCCTTAGTATTGTTTAGTAAATACTATAAATATCAGAAGTACCAGCTTTAGAATGTGCTTCCCCGCCCCCCCCCGGATGTTTCAACCTCAGAAATGGTTGGAAAAGATGCTGTCCTGAAATCAGCATTTTTTTTTTTTTATACTATAGCTGTAAAATTGTAAAAAAAATAGGTGGGATCCTCTCCATTGCTAGTGGCTATAGTAGCTTCTTAGGCTCATGTAATTCCTCATACCAGATTTGATTCCTGGAAATCTGCCTGTTCTGATAAATACTCTTGCTGTGTTTTTGAAAATACTTTTTGTAATAGTTTTATATCTGCTTATTTAGACAAGTTTTTGGAATGTTTCATTCACTCTCGTGTTTTTATTGGCTTTTGATGAATCTGATGATGGAAACAGGTCTCGGACTAATCTCTCAAATTTGTCTTCATTACATTTGCAGGTTCTTAGAAAATTTCGTGCACATGAGACCAATCTACTTATTGCTACTAGTATTGTAGAAGAGGGTGTTGACATACCAAAGTGCAACTTGGTGGTGCGTTTTGATTTGCCCACAGAATACCGTTCCTATGTGCAGTCAAAAGGAAGAGCTAGAGCACCAATTTCCAATTACATCATGTTGGCAGATACAGACAAAATCAAAAGTTTTGAAGAAGATCTCAAGACATACAAAGCAATTGAGAAGGTATGGGGTCAAAGAAATGTGCCTGTTTTTGTTAAATTTATGATAGTATTTTAAAGGAAAAATCTCTCATTACGCTTTGTTCTTGAAATGTTAAGATCCTGAGAAACAAATGCTCAAAATCTGTCGATACCAACGAAACCGAAACTGAACCCATTGTTGATGATGATGATGTATTTCCACCCTATGTGTTGAGGCCAGATGAGAACAGTCCAAGAGTTACTATTAACACTGCTATTGGACACATAAATAGGTAAGAGGCATATTCACTTTTTACTTCTTGTATTTAAATAAAAAGTTTCTTAGTCAGTCTCACAACGTGGAAGCGTAGGCTGGGGCATTGCACGCATTTCCTCTTCGGAATCTTGTACGATCTTCCCTCCTAAAGAAAGTGGTCACAGTAGTTTGAGGGAATAGTTTGCTTTTTGTCTCTTTATCCTGCAGAGGTTCTAGCTCTGATAATAAATTTAGTGATATCGATTCCTGTTTAATTAAAAGCTGTCCTGAAAACATTCCTTTTCAAAATGGGTAGTAAGATTTTTTTTTTTTGCTCTTGGCAAGCTAGCTTTTAAAAAACAAAACAAAAACAAAAAACCCCAAAAAAACCAACCAAACAAAAAACCAAAAAACCTGTACTAAAATCTTCCAGTTCTAATATTCACATTTGTAATAGCAATCTGATGTCATGTTTTTAAACACATAGTAAGTAAGCTGAACATAATACAGGTCCACAAAACAGGATGATATTTTTCCAGGGGAGCTAGCCAATATCATCTTTGTAAGGCCATGGCAATTAGAGGAGGTCCTCAGTGACAGGAAAAGTTATGACTCTTCAAAAAAGGCAAGGAAGAAGATCCAGGGAGTACAGACGGGTCAATTTTACTTTAGTCATATGGGATATTACAGACCAAGTCCTCATGGCAGCTGTTTCCAGGCAAAGGAAAAAGTGGTTGCAGCAGCCAACCGGAGTTTTACTGAGGACAGTTTTTTGCCTGACCAACCTTGTCTACTGTGTGATGTAGTGCTTGCTTGACTGTATGAAGAGCAGAAAAGCAGTGAATGTCACTTACTTAAGTAAAACTTTCAATGCAATCGCCATAGTACCTTAGTGGCCAAATTCATGAGATACAGACCATTTCGGTGGACTGCCTTGTAAATAAAACCTGGCAAAGCAGTCAGATTCAAAGGGTAGATGATTGAAAGACTAGCTGGCAGCTGCTTACGTGTGGCATTCCTCATGGGCCATTAGGAGGTCCAGTACAGTTTAACATCAGCACGTTCGCATTTGACACCAAGTTGGGAGGGGGGGAAGTGAATACAGTGGAGGGAAGGCTTACCATTCAGAGGGGAAGCATGACAAATAGGAGGAATAGGACGACAGTAAACTCAGGAGATTAAACAAAGACAAATGCAGACTCTGCTACCTGGGATGGAATAGTCCTGTGTATCATTATAACCTTGGATCCACCTTTCTAGAGACCAGCTTTGTAGTAAAGGACTTGGAGGTCTCCTATTTGGCATTTAGTTGAACATCAGTCAGCAGTGTACCCTTACAGTGCTCAGTATGGCCTGAAATCATCTTCTGTGCTGTTTACACCAGTAAGGCAAGATTCTATTGAAATGTCTTTAGGCTTCAATTTGCAGGTTTCAGTGATTTCTAAAATGTTTTGTCAACTTAGGTACTGCGCTAGATTACCAAGTGATCCATTTACACACCTAGCTCCCAAGTGTAAAACCCGAGAACTACCTGATCATACGTTTTACTCTACTCTCTACCTGCCAATCAACTCACCTCTTCGAGCTTCAATTGTTGTAGGTATTTGGGGAAGGAAAAGCATAGAAATGAGTGAATATGTTGGTATAGATGTGTGTGTGCCTTTTCTAGAATTAGTTTCATTGTTGTAATGAAAATGATATTATTTTTCTTTTCCTGTATTGTGCTCTCTGACTGTATTTAGCTCCCTGTTTGTATCTGTTACAATGTGTTTTCTGTAGTTACTGTTTATTCCAAAGGCAAAAATATTTAGATATTCTTCCTAATGCCTTGTTTTTTCACACATTTATGTATCAGCTGTAGGAAAACGTCCTTCATTGGTTTTGATCAATGTTATGTATGTTAAGTTCAAAAACCTTGTAATTTTGGCTTCTGTGGCAAAACAACATAAACCTGAGTATCTTCGCAAAACTGTCGTCAATGTAATATTTTACAAAGTTTTGCTTACCTAATGTTTGTGTTAAATTAAACTGTTTGTAACGTATAATAAGTAATGTGCTAATCAACCAAAGTTTTTAAGAAATATTTAAATGTTTATAGGGTCCTCCAATGAGTTGTGCAAGACTGGCTGAGAGAGTTGTAGCTCTTATTTGCTGTGAAAAACTGCACAAAATTGGTAAGAACTGGAAAAGCAACACCTCTTTGGTAAAGAGTATTTTATAATTGAGAAATTAAACATGGTATGGATGTTATGCACGTACATGCATTTCTGCTATAGCCATCTACAATAGCTTCCTTTCTCTTGCCTTGTTTTGTGATATGATCATGTACTTACTAATTTAGCTTACACCTTGTAAGCTAAAGTTAAATTTTCCAGGGGAATCTTTTTCTTTAATATATTTTGTCTTAAACAGCAAATGCAACATTAATACAAGACACACAGATTTTGACATTGAATATACTTAATAAAGGGGAAAAGAGTCTTGTTCTCTAGAATAGTTTGATTATAGGTAGGGGCTACATCCTGCATCCAAAAAATAATTTGTTTTTTAAAGTGAATTGTAACAAATTAAAATATAAAATACACAGCCCCCAGTATTCTCTACTGTATCGTAAGTCATGTTCCAAAAATAGGACATTGCAGGATTATTTCAGCTCTCTTGTCTCTAGTAAGTATAATGGAGCATATTCTTTATTGTGGAATGTTTTAAAGAGAATTCCATGTTATGGGTGCGTTGATGAAGTACAGAAGTATTTATGTATCTTTTAGGCAAAAAAATTTGTAGGTCTACGGTTTGTATTTTTTTTCTGTCTGAGTTAAACCTTTTGATCACTGAATTCATACCAATAAATGTATCCAAGAATAACACTGTGATGGCTCAACTCAGTGTGGAGAGTGCACATTCAACAGTAGTAATTCCCATTTTAGAATGATACAGAAATATAACTGTTCCCTCTTTCTTGGCATAACTCCATGTGAGTGACTTTTAAATGAGTGTTTCAGTCACTGGTTGGTTTTTATGGGCAAGAAAGTTTATTTTTCTTTGATATTTTCATTACAGAATTCAATTTTTTTATTAAAATTTCAGAGATTTTTACTATAAATAAGTATTTTTGCCAAAAATTCAACCTTTATCGCTCTTTTCCCAAAGTTACACTTTTGGAGCCTTGCAATAGTAAGTGTATTTTAAAAACTTAGGTGAGGTGTTTTCATGAGCAATCATATCTACTGCGTAGTATCTGAAAGAACCAAGATTTGGATGTTCATAATGCTATTTCTTTGTACTCTGTCATAATATTCAGGTGAACTGGATGATCATTTGATGCCAGTTGGTAAAGAAACGGTTAAATATGAGGAGGAACTTGATTTACATGATGAAGAAGAAACCAGTGTTCCAGGAAGGCCAGGCTCTACAAAACGAAGACAGTGCTATCCTAAAGCTGTTAGTATCACTCACTGCTGTCTACATCTCTGATCAAATGCTTTATGTACTGATAAGAAGACAAAATTGCCAACTCTTAATCTTATCTGATAAGAATCTTTTACAACAAATCTTGCATTTATAGTGGAAATATTTTGCAGTTTTAACTGTATAGAAACTTGCGCTATTACCTGAATGAGCTTATGTAACCATATGCTTTGGAAGCATGCCTGTAGTTCAAAGAATGTACACTTTCTATAAAGCTTGTTGACTGTATTTGCCTAGTATAGAAATAAGTGGGAGGAAAAATTGTCCTGCATTAATAATCTGCAAAAACTTTAAGTTCTCTGGTAAATACACTAGAGCAAAGGAAGAATTACTGGCTTTCTAGACAAATAATTGAAGACTGAAGGAGATGCCCAGTGGGTCAAAGTATCTGCCAGGTGCTAAACACAATTTTTTTTTTTTTTTTTTTTTTTTTTAAGATGCTTGGTTTAGCCTGGTGACTTTACTGGTCGAACACAGAATTTCATAATTTTTGGTTTAAATCTTAGAATATCAAATAAGTATACTTTTATATTTTTTACTTTTAAAATCTAAATATTATACGTAATATACTAAAGGGGTCACATAAGATACTTACTATCGCTCTGCATTATTAGGTAACTTATCCATAGATCTGTTGCAACAGGTTTCAGCAACATCAGTTTATAGAATTTGACTTCTCTAGATAGTATTTATGGGGGAATATCAAATACTTTAAAAGTAAGAGAGAAGGAGAAAAGAAACTTTGTCAGAGTATTTTGCAACCACTCGGGAACCTTCCTTCTTCCCCTGCAGTTGCCACAGGTTTTATCTAAGGTTCTTTGAATAGGCCAGGTAATTAATTCAGAATAGATTGCATAGTAGCTTCTGATAATCTTTGCATTTCACAAAGAAATCGATAGCCTTTGGTCACATGTAGGAATGTCAGCAGGTATGCTCACAGTAGTAAGCTACAGTGCTGTGTTGCACTTGATTTGTCAACCTCAGTTATGATGATAGCCCTTAAGTAATTCCATTCTTGGCATCCTCCACATGCCCCGATTTTATTAGTAGTTTAAATAACTGGTTATTAGGAAAGCTTAGGAAAAGATACCATGGCATCACAGAGTATATTACAGAGGGATCGACAGATGAGAAAACTTATTTCTTGCAGTACTTCACAAACAGTTTGAATCTTTGCACGGTGTTTCTTGGTGCTTCTTGTTACAAGTGCCTTTCTCAGTCCTTTTACCTCACTAGTGATTTTTGGAATAGGGGTGACTCATAAAATGCACGATTATGGTATCTGTCATTCAGAGTTGATTTGTCAAGTGATGCATCATTCTTTCTTGGTTATTTTTTTAATACAGAATCGAGGAATACTTTCCCTTGCTTTTGTCCCAACTTTTCACATCTGGAAAAGAAGCGTTGGCAAATGTTTAAGGTCTACAAGATCCTCTTGGGCTTAATATAGTTATTAAACTTATGAGTAATTTTCCATTAAGCCAAGGCCATAGTTTTGCTACAGTATAACTTTAAAATCCAGGACTACATGTATTGCAATTTAGTTTTAGATAAACAGGAGGATCATTTTTGAGACCTACAAAGTAATGAACTCCTACCAAACATAAAGCATGGTTTCTTAAGGTCTATGACAAATATGAGCAGCAAAGTTAAAAGTGCTTGTGGCTGTTGTGAGTGTTCACATCTGCAAGCTAGAATTGTTACTAGAAAACTTCTATAGTGTAGTGCCTGGGCAAAGGGGCAGTGTATTGAATTTTGTTTGTGTGTTTGTCCCAAGTGTATAAAAAACATTTTTGATACTTTTAAACAGTTCTGCTGGAGAAAAGAATCTGTATTAATGAAGCTGTAAGTCCAGCCAAGCTTATAAGAAAATTGAATTACTGAGATGTAGGTTTTTTTCTGTGCGTGCACATTTTTCTTTTTCTTTCTCTTCCTCCCCCCCGCCACCACCATTAAGGTCTAAAGACCTTGGACATAAAGTGTGCTCCAGAGTTACTGGCTAAATATGGAAATTGGCATCAAAATGTCAGTTGTATTTATGGTGAGGCGCTGTCTGTGTTCTACAGTTAGACTTGCATTTCTAACACAGGGTGGATACAGAGGAAGTTTAGGGATGTAATGGAAGTTGCCTCTTGGCAAATAGGAAGATCTGGGAGCATCGTGCTCCCTTGATGCAAGTGTTCGGACAGATCTCATGGCTGCCAGACCAGGCTGCTGACCAAACGTTTTTGCTTAAGAAAGAAAAAATTACTTAAGTCTAGATTAATTTTTTTTTATTCCTCCTTTTTAGCAATACCTTTCCAAATGAACATGTAAAACCTTGTTCAAAGAACAGTCTTTAGCTGAATTTGACTAATTTTTATCACGTTAATGCTTGCTTTTTCTTTTTTTGATTTTTAGATTCCAGAGTGTTTAAGGGACAGTTATCCCAAACCTGATCAGCCCTGTTACCTGTATGTAATAGGAATGGTGTTAACGACTCCTCTACCCGATGAGCTCAACTTCAGAAGACGAAAGCTATATCCTCCTGAGGATACAACAAGATGTTTTGGCATATTGACAGCCAAACCTATACCTCAGGTAATGAATCTAGCTCATTTCCTTACTCTACATGCCTTAGAACCTGTCATTTTCCACGTATTCCCTGCCCCCAGACTGAAGAGTTGGAAATGACCATAAGTGCTGCTTGTATCAAGTAACCTCCAGAAAATAAGCAATAGTATAGAATCATAGAATCATTTAGATGGGAAAAGACCTTTAAGATCATCGAGTCCAGCCGTTGACCTAGCACTGCCAAGTCCACCACTAAACCGTCCCTAAGCACCACATCTACACGTCTTTTAAATAAATCCCTCCAGGGATGGTGACTCTCCCACTCCCCTGGACAGCCTGTTCCAAGGCTTGACAACCTTTTCGTGAAGATATTTTTCCTAATATCCATTTTAAACTTCCCCTGGCACAACTTGAGGCCA